CCAGAATTCCCCAGCCAGCAAGGCTGGCTGGGGAATTCTGGGAGTTGAAGTCCACACATCTTAGAGTTGCCCAGGTTGAGAAACACTGATATAAACTGTTTCCAGCAAGGACATTCGTTATTTATCAGAAGGACCACCTTTACTTTGGTGGTGTGCAATTTTTTCTGACATGAAGGTCATCCTTGGCTTTTGAATGGCTTGTCAGCTCCAAAAAGTGGAGGGTGGGCCTGTGTCCAACATTGAATTTCTGTTCATTTACATGTAACTAAAATCAATCAAATGAACATGCATACTATCCAGTCATGTATTTAATACTTTCCCCTTTATGTCACATTAAAGTAGCAGCTTTTGGTGATCTCTGGCGGCTAAGCTTAAGGCTTTCACAGAGCTGCCTGCAATGTAAAGCCTCAGGTCGTCCGCCTCTTCCTAAGTGCTAGCCACATTCATTCTTTTCCCAGATATAACCCAGCATCTAAAAGAATAAGAGAATAAAATTGTGCCAGCTCAGCAAACAAGGGGCTATGAAAAGGCGAAGGAAAGATGCTACCTCTCACCTTCTCTGTCTTCCCAGGAATTTGGTCTATGACCTCAAACTGACTGCCAGAGCAGAAACTGGTGTCATAGCTGTGGCCATGTATCAAGCCCAACTCAGGAAGTTTCATTCCTTATAGACGGCATCATGTGGGACCACTGCACACTACTTCACAGTTGCCCCAGGGCACCAAAGGTACCGCAAGGGGCCTAAGATTGCAAAGGTTGGCAAATCAGCTCTCGCAGATCAGAATTATCCTACCCTTCAGCACCACAAATAAGCCAAATGCTACAACAGGACAGCACCATGAAGTTGACTGATAATAGCAGGCTTGCCATAAATGTTGGTTACCACACCTCTAAAACTCACAATGGAGTACAGAGATGGAAATCTACTTTAACTGCTGAGAAGTTAGCTTCAGGTTTTTCTGGCATTAGCCTAACTGCAGATTTCAAGCTCCAGGAGTCTTCCTACCTGCACTGTACAAGTTTAGTAACAAAACCATCAACCTGCAAATACACACAGCAGCTCTGCATCCCAAACTGATGTCAATATAAGCAGCCATCAGGACAGCATCTCTGGTAGCCTTCCAAGGCAGGCTGTTCCACTGCTGAACAGCTTGGTTCACCAGAAAGGTATTTCTAATATGTAGAAATCTCCTTTCTTCTAATCTGAATCAGGTTCCAGTTCTCCTGCGTACTGAGCATGAAATAAATGTACTGCATTATGTCTGTGATAACCCATCACTGTGATAAATGGACACCATTTCATCTCTTAATTTCTCTTCCTCAAGGCCTTTCATAATTATCTCTGGGGGCCTAACATGCGCTCCCCCTGATTCAGAGACACAGGAAATGGGGGTTGCACAGGGCCCTTTAAAGCTTTGCTCTTTTGTGTGCTCTGTTATGATATTACCATGATTTTATTGTGCATGCTGGCAACCCTCCTCAGCAGTACACCCAAGCTGGGATAGACCTAATTCAGCAAGTCTCAGCTGAACACCCTTCTGGAATGCAACCCTCATCCTACTCAACCACCACCTCCAGTAAAAAGTCAGCAAAGGCTCCTTCATGCCAAACCCAAGTCCTGGTGTCTTCATGGAAACAGGTAGTTTTTTAAGCTACATTTGCTGCTTTTTTAGATTTCCCACTCTACTTTATGACCCTGGGATTTGCTGGTGGTCTCCCATCCAAGGACTATCCAAACACAGTTCTGTTTCTTTGCTATGTCTAGCAACAAAGCAATCTACTGTGTAAAAACAGAGAGCAAACCCCACTCCCTTCTAGCACTGATGATGTTGCCTAGTCAGGTAATGAAACATCGGCAAGAAACCAACCAAGTTCAGAGAACACCAAGGACTCCACAGTTCAACCCTGAGCTATTAATATTCTCTTCTATTGGAACCTTACCTTAACATTTTGCCCCCAGGGTGCCAACAAGTTAAGAAGGGAACAAATCCAATACTCACCTCTTGCACATTAGTTAATTCCAGTAGTTCTCCAAATACGTAAACCCCAGGAGCCTCCAGCACTTGGTTGATAAGGGCAATCAGAGCTGAACCACTGGTGCCTTTGGCTAACAAAATAAACTGCTCCAGGAGATTACAGGCTGGTTTCTGCTCCCCTGCCATTTTCAATTCTTTACACTGTAAAATAGAAAGTGTCATAGTTGTTGCTCAATGTTTGGTTCAAAAGGAATATTATGACAGCAGCCATATGATGAATGAAAACTTCAGTTTTTTTCAGGTCCAAAAATATGTAATTCTACAGAAGCAGTGTTATGTCAAAAGCAGCTCAACCCTAAAGGGAAAAAATTCAGTGTATACTTATGGAAGGCTGGGAAAAGGAAGGTTGAGAACATTTAAGAATTTTTCTCTGCTTTTCCTGTCTCAAAAACAGAGTTTTCAAAACTACTTACAAAAATATAAAAAGCATAAAGACAATAGTCAGTACCATACCACACTAAAGGAGCAAAAGCAACATGGAAAATGATTAGCTGTCAAGAATTAAAATTAAACAATTCCAGAATCAAATCTACTTTTTAAGAAATGCCTTCACTTGCTGGCAGAACAGATTGATAGTCTAATTCTAACATCTCATCAGTTCTTACTTGTTCCTGCAAATGATGGTTTCTCCTTTAACATTAATGTGAATATTTTAATGAGAAAGAGAGGCCAAAGTGTCCTAGTTAGGAAGCCAGTGGATTCTGCAACATGGATTCAAAGGCGGTGGCCAGAAGTCTAGCAGTAGAGGTTGAAGCATCATCTGGACCTGCCTGAAGCCTTGAAGATTTAAATCACTGGGAGTCCTTGTGGAGTTGGCAGTATATAAATATCATCAGAATAAGCATAAAAACATCTGGCCATAGTAGTGCGCGCACGCGCGCGCACACACACGCCTGAGGGACCGCCTTACTCCCATCATTTCTACCCATCCCATTAAATTGGGCAGGAGAGGTATGCTCCAGGTCCCATATATTAGGGATTGTCATCTAGCAGGACCCAGGGAGCACTCCTTTTCTGTAGCTGCGCCTGCCCTCTGGAACACCATATTGCCTGAGGTTCAACTGGCCCCAACTCTGCTCACTTTTCAGAAAGCCTTGAAGACCTGGCTGTTTTCCCAGGTATTGGGGTCAGGAGAGTAATTAAGCCCACACTATTAGCGAATGGGGTATTTGGGAGCCATGCTGGGTTAGTCAGCTGGGAACAGGGTTTTTAATTTTTTTTAAATATATATTGTGCTTATATTGTATTTTAATTCCTGTTAGCTGCCCAGAGTTGCGTTGGTGAGATGGACAGCTAGTATATTATAAATCAATATAAATAAATAATATGCTTGCATATATGATTCCATTTATCTCCTAGGAGCTCCACAATCCTTAGAAATTAAAATAAAATCTCCTTCAAGTTAATTCCTGGTGGCTTTGTGGAGATAAACCATGTAATAACAATAAGGAATCAGTTTGCTATTGTTTTTCCAATTTCCCAGTTGAACCAGAATCCTGGGATTTGCTGGTGGTATCCTATCCAAGACATAGCTAGGCCTAACCCTATTTCCAATCAGTCCATGTCATTTCTGTCAACATAAATCTGATGTCCAGGTCCACTGGACACAGTAAAGTATATACCAACACAGCAAGACAAAATCTCAGTGCAATCGTCAGGCTGCACTGAGAGGGTTTCCCCAAAAAGGAACAGTCCTCATGATCTCACATGAGGTTCTAAGAGATGATGGGCCTTCTCCAAAGCTTAGGAATGGCTATTAATAAGAAATTCTCCTAAGCCCCAATTAGACAAATCTCTGATACTTGGGGGGTTCCCTTCTGGGCTGAAGCTTCAGGTCCAAGATGGAGTTCTTCGCATGCTAAATGCTTCAGGCTGTTATTTCAAAGCACACTCACGAGCAAATAACTCTGAATCATACAGCTGATGTTCATAAATAAGCAACATACATACCCGGCAGGGGTTTATAGAAAAAGTGAGAAGGGTCTCCACAAGATACTGCAGATTCAGAGTCCTTTGTCCAAGTACCCCAGAGGCAGTGAACAGAAACAGCAGGAAATTTTGCCCCACGCCCCAGTGCGCTCAGAAATACAGGTCAGAAGAAGGAAACGGATGGAGCAAACAGCCGGCTGCATTTAAGACTCAGTCGCTGCACATCTTCCCTGGAAGAGAAGAGAAGAGAAGAGAAGAGAAGAGAAGAGAAGAGAAGAGAAGAGAAGAGAAGAGAAGAGAAGAGAAGAGAAGAGAA